TGCATTTCGGTGAATGCTCGGGAGTTTCATCATTTATCGCGCGGTCAGTGCTCGGGTGGTGTGATGCTGATGCGCGATTTCGAAAAATTTCTGCTTGTTCGTCACATTCCGTGGATGAGGCCGTGTTTGAAGTTGGTAAATCGTAGCGTTCGATTGTTCGATTCTCCAGAATATTTTTCCCATGGGTCAATTTATAATTGATTGGTTATAAAAATATATTCAAATATTTTTTTATATTTTCAAACACAACAAATTCATGAATTTTCGGAAAACACTCACGAAAATAATATTTCAAATTTGAATTTTAATCGCAAAAAAATTAATTCATGAATTTTCGGAAAACACTCACGAAAATAATATTTCAAATTTGAATTTTAATCGCAAAAAAATTAATTCATGAATTTTCGGAAAACACTCACGAAAATAATATTTCAAATTTGAATTTTAATCGCAAAAAAATTAATTCATGAATTTTCGGAAAACACTCACGAAAATAATATTTCAAATTTGAATTTTAATCGCAAAAAAATTAATTCATGAATTTTCGGAAAACACTCACGAAATAATATTTCAAATTAAAATTTTTAATCGCAAAAATTAATTCATGAATTTTCGGAAACACTCGCGAAAATAATATTTAAGTTTCAAATTCAATCGCAAAAATTAATTCACAGATTTCGGAAAAACATTCACGAAATAATATTTCAAAATTGAATTTTTAATCGCAAAAATTAATTTGTAAATTTTCGGGAAAACACTCACGAAATAATATTTCAAAATTGAATTTTAATCGTAAAAATTAATTTATAGATTTTCGGAAAAACACTCACGAAATAATATTTCAAAATTAGATTTTCAATCGCAAAAATTAATTTGTAAATTTTCGGGAAAACACTCACGAAATAATATTTCAAAATTAGATTTTCAATCGCAAAAATTAATTTGTAAATTTTCGGAAAAACTCTCACGAAATAATATTTCAAATTTAAATTTTTAATGGCAAAAATTAAATCCTAGATTTCGGAAAAACATTCACGAAATAATATTTCAAAATTAAAATTTCAATCGCAAAAATTAATTCATAAATTTTCGGAAAACACTCACGGAAATAATATTTCAAATTTGAATTTTAATCGCAAAAAAATTAATTCATGAATTTTCCGAAAACACTCACGAAATAATATTTAAGTTTCAAATTCAATCGCAAAAATTAATGAAATTCATGAATTTTCGGGAAACAGTCACGAAAATAATATTTCAAAATTGAATTTTTATCGCAAAAATTAATTCATAAATTTTTGGAAAAACACTCACGAAATAATATTTCAAAATTAAATTTTTAATGGCAAAAATTAATTTGTAAATTTTCGGAAAAACACTCACGAAATAATATTTCAAAATTAAATTTTTAATCGCAAAAATTAATTCATAGATTTTCGGAAAACACTCGCGAAATAATATTTTAAAATTAAATTTTTAATCGCAAAAATTAATTCATTGATTTCGGAAAAACACTCACGAAATAATATTTCAAAATTAAATTTTTAATCGCAAAAATTAATTTGTAAATTTTCGGGAAAACACTCACGAAATAATATTTCAAAATTGAATTTTAATCGCAAAAATTAATTCATAGATTCTCGGAAAAGCACTCACGAAATAATATTTCAAAATTAGATTTTCAATCGCAAAAATTAATTTGTAAATTTTCGGAAAAACTCATAATATTTCAATATTAATAATATTTCAAATTTAAATTTTTAAACGCAAAAATTAAATCGTAGATTTCGGAAAAACATTCACGAAATAATATTTCAAAATTAAAATTTCAATCGCAAAAATGAATTCATGAATTTGCGGAAAACACTCCGAAATAATATTTCAAAAACAAATTTTCAATCGCAAAAATCAATTCATAGATTTTCGGAAAATACTCGCGAAATAATATTTCAAAATTTAAATTTCAATCGCAAAAATTAATTCATGAATTTTTGGAAAACACTCACGAAATAATATTTCAAAATTAAATTTTCAATCGCAAAAATCAATTCATAGTTTTTCGGAAAAACACGAAATAATTTTTCAAAACTAAATTTTTAATCGCAAAAATTAATGTGTAAATTTTCGGAAACACTCGCGAAATAATATTTCAAAATTGAATTTTTAATCGCAAAAATTAATTCGTAAATTTCGGAAACACTCGCGAAATTAATATTTAACTTTTAAATTCACTCGCAAAAATTAATTCAAAAAATTTCGGGAACACTCGCGACAATAATAATTCAGTTTTAAATTCAATCGCAAAAATTAATTCATGAATTTTCGGGAAACACTCACGAAAATAATATTTCAAAATTAAATTTTTAATCGCAAAAATTAATTTGTAAATTTTCGGAAAAATACTCACGAAATAATATTTCAAAATTAAATTTTTAATCGCAAAAATTAATTTGTAAATTTTCGGAAAAATACTCACGAAATAATATTTCAAAATTAAATTTTTAATCGCAAAAATTAATTTGTAAATTTTCGGAAAAATACTCACGAAATAATATTTCAAAATTAAATTTTTATCGCAAAAATCAATTCATAGATTTTCGGAGAAACACTCACGAAAATAATATTTCAAATTTGAATTTTAATCGCAAAAATTAATTTGTAAATTTTCGGAAAAATACTCACGAAATAATATTTCAAAATTAAATTTTTATCGCAAAAATCAATTCATAGATTTTCGGAGAAACACTCACGAAAATAATATTTCAAATTTGAATTTTAATCGCAAAAATTAATTCATGAATTTTCGGAAACACTCGCGAAAATAATAATTCAGTTTTAAATTCAATCACAAAAATTAATTTGTAAATTTTCGGAACAACTCCCACGAAATAATATTTCAAATTTATTTTTTATTTATTGATAATGCTTCGCTGGAGTCCGACGTCGCTCCAATAGCATAGGGGGTTTACATCAAGGCTTACAAAAACATGCAATTTACCATACAGGCATGTAAGACACATCATAATCATGATTACAAAAGTTAAATAAACATAGTGGTAACAAATATAAAATAGGCGAAAAATAGGTGGCGGCATTCCGAGACAGAATCATACTTAGATAGTGTGCATAGGGCTGAGATTAAGTGTTCGAGGCCCTCAAATAGTACATGGTTTGTCACAATTAGAATCAAATAGTTAAAAGCATATAAACAACAGAGCATTTGTTCGAAAAAATATGTGAACATTTGTACGAAGCTCCCATAACCGAGGCCGAAGGTCTGAGACTTAACCTTAAGAGGGACCCAAGTAACACCGCCAAACTGAAACCAAGAATGCAGAATTAGTCAAGCAAAATTATTCGTAGACAGTTTTGTCGCGGAGTGAGAAACATTGCGTTGAGAAGTAGAAGATGGCTCTGAGGCATATTGGGTCACTGGAGCAGAGAAGTTCGCAGACTCTATCTTCGTCCGGGCCAGCGGTGGGGATGGGTGCCAGATGCTGGGCCAAGTAATGATCTCTGAGGGGGGAGTAGAGGGTGCAGTTGAGGAGGATGTGGGAGATTGTTTCATATTGGTAGATATGGAGTGATGCACAGTAAGGGCAGAGTTGGGTAGGAGAAACTTTTGTGGAACCATTTTTGAAGGAGTAGGAGCAGGAATAGTTGTTGGAGAGTCTCAGTTGGGCTATGGAACGCTTCAGGGCTAGGGGCAGGCGGAGCCGAAGATAGTGGGCAGTGGGGTCTCCCAGGGATCTGGGGAGGGGTAGTTGGGAGGATGTAGAGACGCAATAGCTGGAGAAGTCCTCTTGGCGCAACAGCAACTCGTAATTCACGAAGACGACGCCTGCGCGTGAAGTCCACGTTGCGGTGTCCAGGGAGTCCAGAAGATCCTCTGCGTTGACAGACCTCAGGAAATCCCTGAAGTATGTCATCCAGTTGTAGGTTGAGACTTCGGTAGTGTTTCTCAACAGTTCCAAAAGGCGCACCAAGCATATTCTGGGGTGGCGGAGTGGGTCCATTTGCAAGACTTTTATAAACCAATTCCAGATTATTTTCACGGCCTTGAGGGCTTGCCTGGGCGCTTCAGCCTCCATTCTCACAGACCAATTAGCAGTGTTTCGGGGTAGTCTCAAAAGGCGCTTGTAAAACTCAGTTTGTATAACCTCAATCTCATCTAGTTTTCCAATGCCCCAGGCAGGAATGGCGTAGAGAAGCGTTGAGGACACCATACTATCAAAGAGTCTCGTGTAGGAGTCCCAATTGTCGCACTTGGATTTGTAGAGCAGGTTTAAGGTGCTCATGGAGGCTGTTCTTGCTTTGCCTATGGCTGCCTGGGTGGGGGTGTTGGATCTGGCTGTGCCTGAGATGAGAACTCCAAGATAGGTGTAGGAATAGATAATTTGGAGAGGTGTCCCATCGTACATCGTAATCCAAGTATCAATGTATTTGGGGCCTCCTGCAGCTTTGAAGACCAGGATTTGTGTCTTAGTGGTGTTGACTGATAGCCCCTTCATAACACAGTAGTCAGAGAGCGTGCTTAGGATTACCCGTAGTTTGACGTGTGAATCAGCCAGAAGAACAGTGTCGTCGGCAAACAGCTGCATCAAGATGTCGGTGCGCCCATCTATGTTCAAGCCAGAGTGACCCCTCTCGCGGAAGAAACTTTCGAAGTCAGAGACATATAGAAGGAATAACAGCGGGCTTAGTGTCTCCCCTTGGAGCACACCCTCAGTCACTTGGAAAACGTCCGAACACAGCCCACGACTTCGAACCCGGATGCACGCCTGGGAGTAAAGAGATACCAAGATGTTGATGATTTTGGAGCTGACTCCGACGTTGTGAAGCTTTTTCCAAAGTTCGCTGTGGGGGATGCTCTCAAAAGCACGTTTGAAGTCGACGAAGACAGCGTACACTTCTCTTTTTGGGAGTCTCAGTTGTAGGTGGACTGCTGCGAGGAGGCAAAAAACGGCGTCGGTGCAGCTTCGGGCTCTCCTGAAGCCGTGCTAAGACTCAGGAAGCAGTCCATTTGATTCAGTCCAGTTCTCCAGCCTCTTCCTTAGGATCTCGGTAAAAAGCTTGGTGGTTGTGTTGACAAGGGCAATGCCTCGGTAGTTCCCAGGGTCATCTTTGTCTCCTTTCTTAAAAATCATTGAGAGAACTACCTCGGCCCAGCTCGGTGGGACTTCTTCTGCGCAGAGGATGTTGTTAAAGAGCGTGAGGAGGCATGATGTCCACTCGGGGGTCAGTGCCTTGAGGGCTTCATTGGTGATACCGTCCAAACCCGGAGCTTTTGCGTTTTTGAGGTGTTTGATAGCAGTTTCCAACTCGGTGAGTGAGATCTCCCGGTCCAGTTCCTGGATGTCAGTACGTGAGGGTAGATCGAAAGTTAGGCTCCTAGGAGGATAGATGTTTCGGTAGAAGGAGTTCCACACTTCAATAGGAAGTCCACAGTCTCTTAGGCCAAAAGTCGGTTTCAGTCTTTTCACCGCTGCCCAAAATTCATTGGGGTTGGATAAATTGGCGAAGGAATCAATGATCTGCTTCTCGTACAGCTTTTTCTTGTTTTCAGTGACCAGTTTGAAATTCTTCTTGAGGGTATTCAGAGTTAATTTGTCAGCATCATCGAATCGAGAAACAAAGCATTGCTTCAGAGCACGCTTGATCTCGGCCTTGAGGGGAACACACTCGTCATCGAACCATGGGTTACGGCACTTGGGGCCTTGTGATCCAGATGTTGAAGATGGTACGGAGGGTCTCGAGTAGATGACTAGTCCAACCGAGCGGGCACCCTCCCAGATGACTTTGACTATCCGATCATACGTTTGCTGGAGACTGTTTGGTGCTTGACGGAAGAGTGGAAAATTAGGGGGAGGGGGAGGTGGCAGCGTTTGTAGAGAATGCTGAAAGGATTCGAGATTAGTGGGATTCAGGGACAATTTGGGAGTTGGGGTAGTCTTGGGGGCAGGGGAGGGGGTGAGCCACACCAAAGGTGCAGGCACAAGGGAAAGTGGTCGGAGGAGGAGATGTCAGAGAGTACTTTTAGGTCCTTGATTATATCTAGACTTACTGCAGAGCACCAGATCGTGTCGTTAATGGATTCTCCAAGCCTTGAGTATGTGAAATTGGCAGGATAGTCGCTGGTAGTTCTTCCATTGATGATAGTCATACCCAGAGAGGACATCAGATTAAGCGTCGGGGTACATCTGTCACTGGTCTCTGTATCAAGGGTGGTCATAACAGGAAACAGAGAGGTGCCTTCGAAGGTAGCATCGTCTACCTCAGTCACAATACCAACACGTGCATTCCAGTCGCCTCCAATCAGAAGAGGAACACCCTCCTCCGAGAACAGCAGGTCTTCAATGGGTTCTTGAAGCATCGAGATGGCATGTTGGTAGTTGGAAGTGCCTATCTGACCGGAAGTAGACCACCCCCAGGATGAGCTCTGCGTCATTGTGATTTATCTTGAAGAACATCCACCAGGGGGTGCTCTCCAGTAGGGTTACTGATGAAGCAAGATGGTTCTTAACTGCAACAAGGAAGCCTCCACTGCCTCTGCCTCTATCCTTGTCCCTTACCGCGTCGGCCCAAAAACATTTGCAGTTCATTAGGTAGGAGGGGGTGGGTTTCGGTGCGGAGAGTAGCATTGTCTCGGAGATGCAAAGGATATCAGCGGGATCCAGATCAATTAGGTCGCTAACATGGCAGAATCCTTGGGCGTTCCAGAAGCCAATTGATAAGCCATTGGGGGGTACCGGTTTGGAGAGTGACGAGGAATCGCCGGAGTTATCTAGACTAATCCTCGGGCGGTGCCCCCCTGGAGGTCAAAATTTTGTCGATTGTGGGGGACGTGCTGGGTTCCATGTACAAGGGAGGGCAGGGATGAATGGGTGGGGACAGTGAGTGGGGGGTTCCTGGTCTTCTCCAAAGCTCCCTTCTTCTTGTTCCAAACATACCTGACTCCGTCCACGTCTAGGCGTTGGTACCCTATCCTGGCGATGTGTCCCTTTTGTCTTTCTTCTCTAGCTGCGTCACGGATGGCCTTAGCCACGACTCTTTCTCCACGGGTAAGGTCATTATTTATGTAGACATCCTTGAGGGCATGGCTTATTTCAAATTTAAATTTTTAATCGCAAAAATTAATTTGTAAATTTTCGGAAAAGCTCTCACGAAATAATATTTCAAAATTTAAATTTCAATCGCAAAAATTAATTCATAGATTTTCGGAAAAACACGGAATAATTTTTCAAAATTAAATTTTTAATCGCAAAAATTAATTTGTAAATTTTCGGAAACACTCGCGAAATATTATTTCAAAATTTAAATTTCAATCACAAAAATTAATTCATGAATTTTCCGAAAACACTCACGAAATAATATTTCAAAATTAAATTTTCAATCGCAAAAATTAATTCATAGATTTTCGGAAAAACACGGAATAATTTTTCAAAATTAAATTTTTAATCGCAAAAATTAATTTGTAAATTTTCGGAAACACTTGCGAAATTAATATTTAAGTTTTAAATTCACTCGCAAAAATTAATTCGAAAAATTTCGGGAACACTCGCGAAAATAATAATTCAGTTTTAAATTCAATCGCAAAAATTAATTTGTAATTTCGGAAACACTCGCGAAAATAATAATTCAGTTTTACCTTCCTTTTTATTAGGTTTTTCCCTTTGCTCCTTTATTGTTATTCCCTTTTGCTCCTTTATTGTTATTCCTTCTTGCTTCTATATTGTTATTCGTTCTTGCTTCTATATTGTTATTCCTTCTTGCTTCCTTTATCCTTTAGGTTACTTGAATTTATTCCTTTCCTGAGTGGACTCACGACACGACTGACTGACCGATCAACTGACCGCTTGGGCGATGCCCTTTTTGCGTCGTCAATATTAATTCGTGTATGTAAATGCATACACGAATTTTTAATTGTATGGGGGTGGGGAATAAGATGTGGATGAGTGCTGAGTGCACTCTGTAGAGAGAGGGCGTAGGTAGATTGAGGAAACACGCGTCTTATTAAGGGAGGAGGACAATTGGTGTAGCCAGCGTGGTTGCGTTTGTCGGTAAGAGGGGCGCGGAGAAGAGGGAATAGGGGAACAAGCGCGCGTGAACCGTTTCGCGGGGAGAGGAGTGCGGGGAGGAGGGAAAAATAAGATGTGTAGTTAGGTGTGAAGAGCGAGGTGAGGGGAGGGAAGTATTAGACAATGGTGGGACTGTTACGAGGTGGACTGCCTCGCAACAGCAACCCGAAACCAGGGCGATAAGGCCCTCGGCAACGCGGGTTCATACCACCCGTGTGGTATGAATCACATCTCAAATTAATTTTTCCATCGTCTTACCGGATGGCAGACGATCGGTTTATGTACCATTGGATTCGTATGATTCCGTTGGTATTTAAATATGATATTTTTTCTTTATTCCGAAATTATTTTCATTTCCAAAAGTTGGAATTAATAATAATTTTTGTACGTTGTTATGACGTAACACAATGAACGTTTGTTCAATAAAAAAATATACGCAATTTGTTAGACGTCAAGCTGAACCGCGTGAAATTAGTAAATTGAAAAAATAAATTATTTCATGATCTATTCCACGTACGGCAAAAAGCTTTGATTTTATTCTTTGAAGTCGGACGAACATTCTAAAGAAAAGAAAACCTGGATCGGATGGAAACTGTGGTGCAAGGAGCATTTTTCACGTAAAAACACGCAAAATTACGATTTATGTTGAAATACGGGGCAAAATGGTTTGGGTCCGTCATTTTTCCAACTCTTTCATCACCCCCATTATGTATCAAAAGTTGTTCGGTGGATTCCGTCACTAATCGCAGACTTCAAAGTTTTACCGGGGTCCCCCCTTAATACTTGTTATTGACAATTGAAAATTTGGGTCATCGCTTATTGTTTTCTTACTCTAAATGGGGTAATTTACCCAGATTCCGGAAAAAAAACATTATTCGCACGGTAATCGACTGGCAAAAAAAATTCGATACATTTTTATTTTTAGTTTCAGAAAATTTGATTCTCATCTTTTATCCAAGTGCAATCGTACCACAAAATTCGATGATAGTTTTTTTTGAGGTTTTATTTAAATAATTAACGAACCGCTGAGACGATTTTGTTCATAATTTAATCAGGTCTAAGTTCCATCGAGACGCATCGATGGGAATAAAGCAAATTGGATTCTCATTGTTTATTTAAGAGAAATCGTAGCACAAAATTTGTTCACAGACATACATACACCCACACACACAGACATGTCTTTGGAAACGTCATATAAAGATTCTAGGGGTCATGAAACGTGGAGATATCGTGAAATTTCCACTTTCGATTTTCAGGGTCATTGCAAAATTTAAATAAAAAAAGGGAGCAATATTAATAATTTTCCAAATAGTTCCTAATCTTAAAAATTCATGTTTGAATAACTCCAGAACCGCTGAGACAATTTTGCTGGAATTTCACTCCAGTCTTAGGTACACAAAGTTCCATTGATTATGATAGAGAGAAATCGATCCCATCGTTACTTTGAGAGAAATCGCCAAATGTGTAAGAAAATGTCATTCGACGTTGATTTATCAGTTTTACTGCTATATCTAAAGAACCGCTGAGGCGACGCTCTTCAAAATCTAATCAGTTCTAAGTTCCATGAAGATGCATTGATTACAAAAAAAAAAAATTGAATCGCATCGTTTGTTCGAGAGAGATCGTTGAGCAAAATTTTGTTTACGTACATACATACACACACACACACATCTCCATATACAGATCGGTCTCCAAAAAGGGTCGGGGCAGTTTATAGGGGTCATGAAACGTGGAGAACCCATGAAATTTCCACATTTGTTTTTCGGGGTCATTACAATAACTTCCTCCATTTGGGTCGGGAAGTTAAAAAAAATTGAAGAACATAAAATACCCTTCAAAATGGCATATGAATAGTTTCATTTATTTGACCAATACTTGCGGAAAAATCGAATCAAAACTCAATTTACAATAAAATCATAAAATTCTGTTTGTTCGGTGTCTACAAAAAAACGCTCATAAGTCAATGAAAATTGGCGATTGTTGGAAACAGGAAAATTAGAGTAGATAATAGTGCAAGGCGTATTACTCTCTCTATTTTAGTTCCAAGTTCAAATAATTATTTTTGTTTAATGGTTACCCACCTATGAAGTGCTAGGCACATCCACAGTCAGCGAGCGATCCCGAATAAGGTCAATCAATAAAGAATTAGGAAATAGAGTTACTATCATAGCTATTTATTCTTTAGAATGTTTTCAAGGAAGTTTGGATGTACAGGAATTTTGACAAGTTTAAAAAAACACAAAAAAAACTGTTGATGTTAACTATCTAAAATTTTGATCACGTTATCGGAGAGAGACAGAGGTCATTCGCACCCAGACTAGCGAGACGCACAGGAGAGATGGATTTACTGGTTCTCACTTACTCTATATTGAACACCCTTTATTTCTCGTTCTAATCCAGATAGTAGGGGTTGTTTCAGGTACTCGATTTTGGTCTATTTCGTCCTTAGAATTGGTATATCTAAATTCCGAGTTTCATTTAGAGAAAAACACAGGTTTCACAGTTCCTTTTTGTACACTATTGGTTTCCGGAAGTTAAGTTGGTAAATATTGAAAGTTAATGTGTCCAATGCACAGATCACTGTCACGTTCACGTAACGGGTAATTTTGCACCCCGTCAACCGCCACGCGTCGGGAACCCACGATAAATCATTCGTTGTGATCTAATTCCCGAAAATTGACTCGAGGTAGTCGCGGACTCCAAGCAGGATTAATTACTGGTAATGGATAATAGTGCGCGAAAAGCTCAAGGAGTTAGTCCAGAGATTTTTACTCTTTGAACGTCGGAGCGTAACTGCCATTAATACTTTTGGGATGGCAACAGCCAGAATTTTTTTGATGATTTGGATAAAGGGTCACGTGGGTTTTCGACGTGGAGCGGTTTCTTTTTTTTCTTTTCAGGTGGAATATTTCTTAGGGTCTAACTGCATGACTTTGGTTCAACCTTCAAGTCAGCAGATTCGTAAGCAAAAGTCCGGCGCGTGTAGGAATTTCGACGTTTCTTTAGTGAGAATTAATTTGTTAATTGTCTACATATTGTGATTTTCAATGTATATTTGTATTTTTTTTTAAGAAATTAAATTCCAAACGTAACACGATAATCAAATAATTCAGGGGTTAATTTGACGGTAATTAAATGTGCTTCCGCTTAAGTATAAAATATCTTAACAGATTTGAACAGAAATCAAGCAACTCTCGTTATTAAGAGAAAGAAATATAAAATTTTCAAAACGCGACATGCTAAAATCGACACATTATCACTCAACTTATCGATACATTATCATTATAAGAATTGATCTACTGGATGGAGAAGATAAAATGGAATATCATTTTAAAGATTTCGATGAGACCCTCAAATTTACATATGATAT